TACGTTATTTAGTTATAGAAATGCGTTCACAATTCAGTTTATTTATCTGCTTATTTTATTTACGCTGCATGGTGAAATTAACGCCAGAGGCCCTTTTCTGAGGAACATTCGGGCCTGTCCGTGCGGTCACATTAACAGCCAGCATAACTGTTGGCCATAAAATGCAAAAGACCGCAAAGCTGCGCAGAGATGCGCATTCTGACAAACGGAGATGGCGCATTCTGAGATTCAGATAGTCCGCCAACTGTCATGAGCCTCAGACACACCCACCAATGTGTTCAGGTTGCGGCCAGCACGCGGGGAAGCATTTTAAGTAACCATCAGAAGGCCCGTTCACCCATGGTCTGCATAATGTCGCCAGCCGAAGGAGGCAGTAAGTGCGGCGAGGATACGCACGTGACAGATGTATTGGAGCGCAAGGGCTGTTGGGCAGGAGGCATTATGCTAATGCGTCGCAGTGTAGTGAGCAGTTGGTAAAAATGTACTCATTGCCAAATTTGTTAATGTGTTAAATGATGGTGACATGCGCACACTTGCCGAGCTACGATTATTAGTAGGCTTATGTCAGTCGGGCCCCAACTACATTCTTTCTATAGTGACAACATGATATAACAACTCAAGAAATACCCTTGCTTTGGGTGAGACGGGACACATGCATTGCAGCAGATGTATTCCTGAATGTATTTGGAAGGCTGCGTCACATTTTTGGTTTGTAGAGGGCAGCATGGATTTTTTGTGAAGTGGATTGAATGTAGCCATGTGTTTTGTCTCGGGGAAGGAGTGATACCTGAATATCATGAAGACAGGTCTCCTACCGTTTAAGTTTCAACCAATTGAAGTCAGTGCTCTAGACCTCCAAGCCAGGCGCACTTTGATTTTAAATGGCAATAAAAGTGGGTCCGATATACAACCGTTGAGAAAAGACAATCAGAATGGTAAAATGCCGAATTTCTTCATGAAGATCAATACAACAATGCCATATGGATCATAAACATGAACACTTACAAAGAGAATGGAACAAAAGCTTAAATATGTGCAATATATAGAACCGCTGAGAAAAGACAATCAGAATGGTAAAATGCCGAATTTCTTCATGAAGATCAATACAACAATGCCATATGGATCATAAACATGAACACTTACAAAGAGAATGGAACAAACGCTTAAATGTGTGCAAAGAAGCATGGGGAGATGCATGCTTGGGATTACACTGAGAGATAGAAAGAAGAAAATGTGGATTTAAAAAAAATACTCAAGCTAGCGACATAATATTGACTGTTATAACAAGTGAGTTTGGCCAGGATACATTGCTTGAAGAAATGGCAGCTGGCGGTCAAGATTAATGATGGAGTGGTAGCCAAAGGATTGAACACACCCGAGAAGGATATCCACTGCGGAGCTGGAGTGACGAGATGAGTTATTGTGCAGGAGCTAGATTGTTGCATCACGGGACTATGATAGATGGCGACAGTATGGGCAAGCCTTCATCCAGCAGCGGATGGAGAACATGGTTGTTTTGATCATGACAATATGATTAAGGACAAGACTGGTATTGCTGCTGTCATAACTTTCGTTACGATTGGCAAATGTTCACGATGTACTTCACTAACGAAGGCAATCATCAGTGTTTGGGGTTTTGTAAAAGCTTTGGGACTGGATGTTGGGATAGACTTGGAAAGGTTGACACCATCAGGGTTGTGCATATGGTGAATTGTTTGCAGCAGCCTCTGTTAGGAGGGAGGGAGGTGACATTGTCTGTCCCAGCTGTGCAGTATAAATTTTGTCTCCATGTTTTATTGTATTATTGTCTCCTCTCTTCGCAGCATTTTTAGATACGCTAGCATTTAAACACTGTACAATATTACTATTTTAAATCCTAATATCGTCGATACTTGCATTTGAATAGACTTTTTAAATTACTACTTTATATATAAATACAAATGAGTGCTGTTTTCACACACCAAGAGCAAATATTGTATGGTTATTTATTTAAAACATTCAATCAACACCAGCCATGGTCAATCCGTATCTGGTTTGTGAATGCCTCCCAAAGCCACTGAAAATCATTGCATACTGTCTGCAAACCCAGCAATGATGTGCTAGAGCAGTAATAACTAGTGGTTACCGCATGGCCTTCGTGTTTGGAATGTAATACTCCAGGCAGATTGCTGAATATACATCTGTATTTAATTCTCAAAATACCGGGCTAATTCATGGGTGGAGTGTCCTCCTAGCATATTCGAAATTAATAAAATATCACGGTTTATTGGCATTAAAACCAAGTTTAACCCGTATCCAGTGTGCTGTTTATTATATTAATCACAAGTATAAACTATTGAGATAAAACCCAACGTTTTTTTATACGCAGTATTAATAGTACTGTACTTGACCCGGATTGCCTAGTACATGACCTGTCTGCTCAGTGTGGAGACACAGCTAATACTGGTTGGTATTGCTTTGCACGCTGGTAAATGTGTACTTTGGGAAGTGAAATTTTACAATGTTCCATTCATAATTTTTAGAGGTCCCCCCCCCCCCGGCTAAATAACTCTGCCCACGTTATGTAGAGCATAATCTGTACTGCACATTGCAGCTGCAACCATTTGCACGTGGCCATAGCTGGTGAGCTGCACTGTGAAAATCACTGGTAAGTTTAACACGTAGGCTTTCGCGACCATTATCACTGGTGTTGCCCATAAAGACAAAGAGTCCCCGTATAGCCTTTAACAGACTGTTAGGTGAGCACCTATGAGTTAGGTGGGCAACACCATACCCGACCGCCTTTGTGTCCCCAGTGCTGATGTTTACGCATTGCACCAGGTTCTCTATTTATTGCTGAGTCGATCTAGGGGAGACCCAGGACCAGTTCATATATTCGCCACTGTTATTGGTCGTGAGCGGGAATCAAACTCGGGTGGCAATGTTTGAATCGCAGTGCGCTAGCCACTACACTTGCCCACGCATTCATTACTGCGACACACATCAAAATCGCTGGAATACAATACATCATTTGCAGCCTGACATAGCTGACATCACTGGAACGCACATTACTGGGAGGACAAACATGCGTACATACAACTGTAATATACACACCCACGATTGGGGAACATTCATATACATCACTGGAATGCACTTTGCACACACCAATGGAGCACGCACGTCAGTAGAACGACCACGCACATAAACTACACGCGCCAGAATCACAGAGACACATCACGCACAAGAATTACACATGCTGACGTATGACTAACACAAAGTAAACTGTACAGGTATTTTCTCTGTTGTCATTTTGCAAAGCTTCCCACCCCCTCGAAGCAACGTCTCGGTGGACCTTGACCCGGTTTAATTGCGGTGAAGGGTCTTGGTACACGTGGGCGACATGGGAGTCGCAAACGAACGCGCAGGCTGTTAATGTTGACAACGCGCGCGCACGCGCGCGCACGGCAATAAAGACACGCGCACACGGGGCGTGTTGCTGCTTAAGCTTTCTCCCGACGAGCGCCTTTCAATTCGCACGAGCCAAACACGAGCATACACCGTGCGCAGCCATACCCTTCAATACACGCCAATATCGCAATGCCCGTATCAACAATGAATGGAGCCAAAGGTGGGGGGGGGAGGAAGGTAGTCGCGCTATGTCCCGCTGCCGCTGTCCGTGGTGCTGAAGTCCCAAAGCACGCACATATGCCTGCTCATCATACGCATGCATGCTCATCGGACGCATGCATGCAATACCCGTGCCAATTACATAACCCTCGCGTACATACGCGGACCATTGAATTGTCTTAAATGCATTCGTGTATTCAAATAATGTATTTGAAAGCACGAAAATACACAGAGACGGCATGCGCTTACAATCCACTGTAACACGTTCACGTTATATGCAGCACACACGTAACCGTGTGGACGTATATATATACACTGTGGAACGCACGTAGTTACAGTATATAATGCGCATATATTATATGCGTATGCCTAAGCAAACATGCACACGATACACGCATACGCAAGTATATGCATACGTAAATACATACACTGTATACTCACACACAGGCTGCTGAAAGGTACGCACACACAAATCACTGACCGTGTTGACTGCGCAATACCTGCCCCGCATCGCACGAAGGCAATTCGAACGTTTGGATTTGCGAGCGCTGCCTTCTCTCTCTCCCGTCGCACTGGAGAGCGGTGTAGGACAGCGTCCACATTTGACCATTTAATTCCCGGGGCCCGAGGGAGGCTCTATGATGAGACCATTTCCCCGGCGAAGAGGTCAATAAGGTAGGCAAAGCAGGAAAAGGAAATTTGCCCACTTACTCACCTCCGCAAGCAAAGCCCTCGGTGCTTCGGCTGCTGATATCGGGCCAGTCCCACGAGGGCGGTGGCCTGTGACCATTGAATCTGGTAGCCGCACGCAACCGTGATAAAGCAAGCGAGAGGGAGAGATGGTGGAGGAGTAGGAGGTTGTGGCAAGAGAAGCCTCGCTTACCACCGATGCACATCGTCTCCAGGCTTCCCAGCGCCGCCACGTCTTCGCAGGGGCTCAGAGGGCTGTTGAGGCTGCACGCCCCAGCGCCGGTCGAGCGTTGCGGGGGAGCGAGTCTCATACCACAGCGTCCCTCCTCCATCTTGATCCTTCTCGTCTCCCCTTTCTCCTCTCCTCGCGGAACGAGCGAGCGAACAGGCGAAGCGGTGAGCAGGCAGTGCGTCACGCTCGGGGCGGTGCGGTGCAGTGTGGGGCGGTGCTGCTGCTGCTGATGATGATGCTGCTGCTGCTGCTGTTTGCTGCTGGTAGTGGTGCTGCTGTGATTGCTGTTACTGCCGTGCAGGGTGTTGTGGGGTAATGGTGGAGTACAGTGCGGTAGTGTGGGGTAATGCTTTGCAGTGCAGGGTAGGGTGGTTACCAAAACTATCAGATGTGATCAATGCAACGCCCCCCCCCACCACCACACCTTGCAAAGACGTTGCCGTCTCTCACGTGGTGTTTTGTGGATGGTTCTGCACTGCAGTTTAATACATTACAGTGCATTGCGCTTTGTTATACTGGTGTGAAGCGTGTGTGATTAGTCATTGAGAGCGAGTGTGTAAGTGCAGTGCAATACATTGCGCTTAGGATTGCAAAGATCATTGCCAGTGGCTGGACAGACCAGTGGCACTGGTTTGTAATGCTAGTACTGTACCAGTGTAGTTTCGTGTATTTTTATTTTTCAGTACAGGTAATAGCGGCGCTTTGCAGTGATTGTAAGCGCAGTTAAATGCAAGGGTATTGTTGTGTTAGGGGATGGTGCATTGCAGTGTTGTAGGCAGGGCTTCATTTGAGTCGGAGCTGTCCGAGACTCAGTTCCGGAAACGATTCCCCCCCACCCCACGCTGTCGGGGAAGGGGCGACGGGGGGTGACCGGGTTTGGTTTGGGGTTGGTTGGTGCAGGAAATTTTTAAATGTTAAATTAAGCGCCGAGTGTCGGGTACCTGCGTTTTAGCGTGATGCAATGCAGGAGGCCCTACAGAAAGATAGTGATATCGGGAATAGACGATGCCCTGCGAGAACTCATTCTACCCTGGCTGCCCTGGCTTATCCCTGGGGCTCATGGTTGTTGGTGCTGAGCCCTGCCGTGGTGTTTATGCTGCTTGTTTCCCTGAATTAACCACACAACCCAGCTTTTGCCCTGTTTTATAGTGGAAAAAGCATCTTAATATGCGACTCCATCTAGAGAGGCTATATACAATAAAATCGCTAGTCTAGTTGTATGCTGTTGAATTGTGGGTTGGCTGTAAAGCTTTGCCGTGATGTGCAGTGTGGATGATTGTGTTTGGTTGTGCAAGTCAGGTACATTACAGTATTTTATGGCACCCGTATTGAAGAAGCTACGCTGCTGATTTAAGCCAGTACACTGCTGTATACTGTAATATTAAGTACACTGCCACAAGCGATGGTGATTTTAGAACCTTCAAAAACCTAAATGAATGCGCTGCAGTCTCACGCCTATTAATTTGGTATTTTGCGTTACCAATAATTACTGCGTGACTCTGCTAAGATTTCTAAAGCATTTCACTCGGATTTAACACGCAGGCTCTCGCGAGCAATATGATTCATGATTGACTTTGTGTTGTATTTAATAACTAAAATATGTCGTATACCCTCCTCTACGCGACGCAGCCAATTAATAAAGTTGTCACGTGAACAAACGTGCCAATCAATATTACTGCATAGTTGTCAACCCATAGAGTTTACCCGTTTCATTGTACAGGGAAATTGAGTTTCCAGGCCCATAGGGCATACAGTCCTTTCCATACGGGCAAAATTTTGTATATTTGTTTGTTTCTCCCTTGTGGTGGAACTTTATAGGATGCACATTGAAATTTATAAGGGCACCCGGTGACCAATTTGGTCTGAATTGGCCTTCAATAAGGTAAGCACTCGGGGCTTTACATGTATGTTACTGCTTCAGCAGCATGTACGTTGGAGAGGGATCCGCAAAATTAACAATCGAGTACGACGTTTCGCTGATAGTTACAAATAACATCATCAGGCAGTTGCTAGAATTGTGAAAATGTCCTACATTCTTGAGCCTTAATTTTGGACTGCTGTCCAACGTGTGCTGAAGCAGTAATAAGCATTGATTGGCACGTTTTATTCACGTGACAACCTTAGATACTGGCTGCGTTAGGAGAAGGGTGTACGACACACATGACAACTTTTGTTTGCCCATACTCCACCTTGCTGGTCCCTTCTGGTTGGAGAAGGGGTTGTTCCAGAACGTTTTTCTGACATCACTCACCACTGACGTTAGCCATGGCTCAGATTTCAGGATTAATTGTGCAGTGCCCTGACCAGTCAACGCTGAATAATTTTAATAAGGCGCATTTTATCGCCAGACACATTTGAAATAAAAAGTATATCCCATTTTGCCACCAAATTGGTAATTGTGTGTTTTCATCTGGCTCTGTGACCTCTCATTACCGCAAGGTTCTCCCCTCCAGAATTCAAGCCCTGCCTATCAATTTGTCTTGTGTGTCACAACCAATGCTGGTGTTAATTTACTGCAAAGCTATTTAATGGCTTGGTTTATGATTTCAGATACACAAACCTACTATTGGGATCTGTTAAATGGGGCTATTAATCAACCTAAATGTTACGAGATAATTTCACAAATATACATGCTTTGCGACTCACCTGAGATGAACCACAGTAGTTCTCTGCAACCTGAATAATGATAATATAATGACTAAGCAATGATAAAATAATGAACGATGAGCATTGCTGTGCATGATTCAGAATTGCAGTAACAGCATGGTAGTTAATGGACACCTCAGTTTACCGTGGGAAGGTGAATTTGGAATGATTTCTAACGTTGTGGGTGTAACTTAAATATGCAGCAATTTCAGTTAAGTATATGCGGGTGTACAATTACATTTTAACCACCGGCAACATATCTGTTGAACTACAGCTCGCATAACCATCTAACGTCTTAATTCGCTAGGTGCCATCTGTGTTATACCCCATTTGTCCAATTGACCTGCTTCATTTGGCCATATGTAAATTATTTTGGTGGCATCTGATCTACTATGTGTGTTTGGACCACGAATAGCATGTTCCCTAATATTTATTGGAGATTAATGCATTGCATCATCTCCATCTTGGGTATCTTTCAGCACAGGTGCAGCACTTGCCATGCCAGATGAACAGAGGTTGTTCGTGCAGGAGGAGATTCCTGTAGAGTAATGAGAACGCCTTCTACATCGATCGCACGTCACCGAGGTGAGTATCGCTGCTCAGGGTTGGCCATGAGCTGGAGCGGAACACCGTTCAGAATTTCTCTGTGTCAACCCCCTTTGCAAGTATTTACAACGTTGATCGTCATTCCAAAAAAAATCCATTATAAGTTATTATTCTTTCTGTGATATATTTGGACTAAGCTTCTGAAGAAGGGTGATTTACATATACACCTATATATTTTTATGCAATGATAATGTAATGTATTTATCCGGTAAGCCTCATTGAGTTAAAGACTGTTTCTGATCTGGGTCCTGCTTTGAAATGTTTGAGCTAAATTCTATTAAGGGAATTGAATGCATGTGGGAGGAAATCAGAGTATTAGGGAAACCCCATACAAATAAAAAAAATGCTTCAAGGTATACATAGATGAGTTTGCAAACTCATTCGCTGTACTGCTTTGTCCTATACAGCTTACAGCTCAATGACTTTTGGAGCTTCACAGATCACAGGAGTGCACCACCACAACCAACTGAGACAATATTTCATCTTGCCATTAAGCAGCAGTGTGTTAATTACGATGGCAGTACTGTAATAAATGTAAGCATACTTAAAAAAATGTACGGGATTGTGGAAATAACGTTTTAACTTATTGCCATAAGCTGTGTGTCACCAGATGGCATTGTCTCAAAGGATAGACACTTGAACCTCCTCCACATGTACCCGCACCTCCAAGCTTTGAACAATGCCGCAGAGGTGCACAATGCATCGAGCGACCTCAAAAGCCTCGGCACAATTCATCTCGCGGCACAGATTTATCTCGCCTCGATCACACGTCGGTCCAGTGCATTTCCCGATTTATAGTGCCAGGGCATTGCAGAGCTGTATCGACATCATGGCTTGCAAGAGCCCACTCGTTTTTTATAAGGCCTGATGCACAGCGTTTTAATAGCGAAGCACTCACAGCGTTGGGGTCTGGGGTAAACAACGTCAACTGCATAGGGGGAGGTCCAGGCATTTGTAGCTTTGTGGGAGGTTTGAGAGATGGGGAGCTGGGAATATGTCAGGGTATGGGGGGGGGTGTCGGGCATCATAGTGGATACTGGGGGGAAACTAAGCCCTCGTGGCGTCTCACATTCGCTGCAGGACAGCGAAACATCGGCAAACTTCCCCAAGGTGAGACCTCGTTTGAAAGCCGCTTCGCTTTCAATGTCAATCCCGAAGCCCCATGCGACATCCTTGCATGTTTAATCAAGGTGGCGTTGCACACTAATTGGCGCCGACCTCCTTTAAGTTGCAGTACTTTCCCTGCGATGCTGTAACCGAAAAATGTGCGCAGAGTAAATGTAAAAATTCAGTCTCGTCGTGCGACAGCTATAACCAATGCATGCAATGTATCATCAAGTGCAACCCTCTACTGAAGGTCATTTCACAGCATCATGTAGCCCCCAACCCTATTATCAGCCGCTTCATTGCCAAACACGTCCTCGCTCTATTTGCAGGCACGTCTTACTAAGCAGACAGCAATAACGGCGATCCGTCACACTCGCGTAAATGCGGGGAATGTGATAATCCTGGGATTGACGGAACAAGAAGGACGGTGGCAGCGAGACGTGCGTGGGATTCGCCACGGTGGGAGCCTGCGATGTGCTGCTGCCGCGATAAGGCGTGCACGGTGGCGACCGTACGGCCACAGGGGGCCAAGTTCATGTGAGCTCGCTGGCGCATCCTGCCAGTGGTGTAGTTATCGAGGGTGCAGGCGGTGCGGCGATGTTTTCTTCACCGAGAGAACAAAAGTGCGTGTGCTTGTGGTGACAGGATGACGACGGTGAGACGGGCTTCACCGAGGCCCTTCCCTGAAGCCATAAGAACACACGGCTACCTTTTTTAATGTTCAGTGGCCTCTACCATCGTTCGTAAGGGCAGATGAGTCTGGTGTTCTCGATGACAAAATGTGATTTTTGTTGTCGTGACGTTACGAAGAGTCTCACCTGAGTTTGACCGATTTATGTTGCCACTTGTCATCAGGGGGCCACCTGTTGGTGGGCTGGTGAAAAAAAAAATATAACACAAATGAAATCACTCTGCCGAAAAGGAAAAAATGAGGTATTTTTTTTAATGATTTCATAAATGACACCGCGGCGCCAGTTGATAGGTGGGTGGGTGGGGGAAAAACAGCAGTCATTTTTTTGTTTTCATAAAACCAAAGTGTGATATTAACATTTATAATGGGTTGTCCACGTGACAAGAGCTATTTGTTAGACAAAGCTCACATTGGACTGCCTGTCCATTAACATATTACAGTTATTGTTTCCGAGTGGTCAAGATAGAGCCACCAGTCTCCTTGCTGTGCCCTTGGTGTGGAATAGAGTTATTGTCTCCTAAAGCTGTGTAGCCAGCCTCATAGTGGCCATTTGCCTCTCTGCTTCGAAAGTGTAGCTTTGTATTGTAAACCTGGATGTTATCTCCCCCTTTGCTGCCACGCCTGTGACCCCGCCTGGACGTACGCCGATGCAACTGTAGCCAACACCTGTGTGCAACTTCTGCTAAATCTGGCCGCCCCACAAGGAGGCGATTTTGGCTGCAACATATTAAGCCCTGATCGTTTTTAAAACTGAACGCCTACTGCTAAACTACAATGTTGCTATTATTGTTGTTGTTAAAAAGTAACTGCTTTTTTTTCCATTTGCTTCCTACCCCAATATGTTCGTGAAATGAAATGTTGAAATTTTTACTTTGGATGATAGCAGCAAGCAGTGCACCACCCCGTGTCAGACAATGGCCCCAGAAAAGGATGCCACAGAACTCTACTCAATTGAATTGATCACTTACCCCTTTGGTTTGCCCTAAAAATAATGTTCATCATACATTTTCAGAGCTATAATAAGCCAAATTAAGTAAAAAAAATAAAATGTTGGATTTTTTTGTGCAAACTTGATTTAAAGCTTTCGTGACTGCAGGAATCCATACTCTTTGGTTCTTTTGGTAAAGTCACGTAGGTAGAAAAATAATAGATCACGACGTTTCGATCGCAACACAAGCAATCGTCATCAGGTGGGACAACCACTACTTCAGCAGTTTTTTCTTGCTGTGGTTGTCGCACCTGATTTTTTGTGTGCAGTTATTGATCACTGGGCTGAGTGAGTACTATCATCTCACTGCATTTATAACCCATTTGTCTGGATTATAACCCAGACCTCGGCATTGCTAGCTTATTGTCTTTGGCATGCTACGAGATCGCTGTGCCAACTGGCCACCTCAATGCAATGTGTTTAATGTTCGTTTGCACATAGCTCCCCTTAACATTCATTAACCAGGCAGCACCGGGTATCTAATCTAAGATGTGGAGGAATGCTCTTGGACCTAATGTTGACATTGAATCCTCAGCACTGCCTTGCACACTACCGTGAAAGGTGATATGCTACCGGCAGCGTCGTGGGTGTAGTTACAAAGGCAAAACAATCAAGCCATATTGATTTGTGTGGCTATTGTGTATCAGCGGCAAAGTGTGGCTCTAAGGGGTTTAAAATGCATAATACAAGATTAGTGGAAAGGTACAGCCCTGCAATTGCTTGGTTACGTCACTTCTAGCAGGAGGGTCTCCATTAGAAGGAGCTGTAGACAGCCGCTCTTGAGGGTATTCAGCCTACTCTTCCACGCTTTTGGAAGAGATGGCAGTCCCCCCCACCTCACCGCACACAACCCTACCAATCGACTAACTGCGGTGCATCCAGAAATGCTTCCATTTAAACTGCCGACCTTTGGATTGCAAATCCAGTGTGCTACGAGTCGCCGGCAGCATCCTTGTTAAAATCAAGAATATTCTTAGCTCTTTCGGTAATGTCACGTTGAAGGGAAACAATAAAATAATAAAATATATATAAAACAATAAAAATTCTCACGACGTTTCGACCATAACACAAACGGTCTAAGAATATGAATTACTGCAGTAACGAAAGCTTTAAATCAAAAATCAAGAATGTCGCAGGAATTTTAGTGAGAGGCCCTCGTTGACAGTGACCGCACCACCACTGGCGCTTCCCCCACCACCGTCCTCTCTGTTTGCAGGTGCGGCGTGACATCACTCCTCTCTGCTGGGACCAACTTGCGGTGATGCCGAGCTTGGGCTCATTGGGTGAAACGCTCTCGTCGCCATTAACTTACATGAATGTGGGTAACGGAGCGTGATTTATTGGCGCGTTCATCTCCCAAGGATGGGAGTGCAGTGGTGACAGGGGCTTGAATCAACGTTGACGCCTTCCGCAGAGCCCACCGAGCTTTAATTGATGGAAAGAGGGCCAAAGACGAGGCTTTGCTTTCAGGTGAGAAATACGACACGTGTCAATGCAAAGCGCTGCGGCCGGGCACGCTGCACCGTCCGCTTTGTGTATTGCATCAAACGCAAACATAAAATTGTCTCTCCCTCGCCTGCTAAGCGGGCGGTCGTGGGTTTATCCCAACTCTGACGTCTGTATTTGGAGTTTGCATGTTCCTCCTGTGGTCGCGTAGATCGTTCTCCGGCTTCTCCGGTGTTGCCCTCCAAATGTCTTATTTTATTTTATTATCTTATTCTCATTCTACGTGACTTTACCGAAAGAACCATAGAAGGTGTTTAGAGTATTTGGCTGCGACTATAAATTCCCACATATATGATGACACGTCACTTCAATGAGCTATCACCAAGTGTGGTCGGGTCGCCTCTGAAAAAGAGGTAAATAGCTCAGTGGGCTTTACCTGGTAAATAATAAAATAGAGGGTGCACACTGCTCCATCGCTATTATATTCTGTAAGCTGTTGGAAATGTTGTATTCCTCTCATTACCACCCTGGCTCAGTCCGCTGCTTAATGGGAACCTATCCATTGCACCATGATCTGATTTCATCGCTCTATCTACAGAAATCTCCTTTGCAGCCTATACATGCTGCTCGTGTCGTGAGCGAGCACCTATTAAAGACCTGCATGGCACACGAGGGGGCGGTGTGGTCAGTACTACTCCGGGCATCGGCAACCACTTTCACCAACCCATACTGACCCAGTGTGGTGAAATATGATAAAAAAAACAATTCCCATGACTGACACGACATTCGTTTCATCCAGCAGCGGATTGCTTATAAAGGCTGAGAGCCATGCTAGGACAAGCTAAAAGATGGATGCTAGCATTCAGAATATTTTATTCATCAAAAACACTTGTAATCATGCTGTTAAAACAATTAATCTAGAATAGTGTTAATACACACAAAGAGTAATTTCCAGACAGTAAAAAGAGCTATTGTGACCACTGCATGACATCACCATCCTGCTTGTACAGAACTGTTTTTTTGAATCTCGGTGGTCTAAAACAAGGGTGTTGTGTATGATACAGGGTGCTTCAAATTGTTTTTTTTACACTTCTGAGAATTTGCAACAATACCACGTGACATGTGCTGCTGCCTCCAGGCTCTGGAGACCACCTGGAGAAAAATATTCCAGGCCACGTGTTGACAACGATGGCGAACAAGTGGGAGACTCTGACTTTTTGAAGCTATTAACATTGCATTTGTTATCATGTTACAGGGTACTATCCGTTCTTTTTCCATTAAAAACGATAGTTCTATGTAAGTGTTAACATGTTTTTGAAGCGCTCTTTATATGCAGTGCTGTGATGTCATGTGACATGGTCATAATTTTTGTTATTTCTGTCATCTGGAAATCTGTGTTATATGTGTTTGTTTCCAGCCTTGCAAGGACTTGTCTGTCTGTTGAGTTACTCATCATTGACAGGAAAGTTAGCATTGGTTTCATGAATCGAGACATTTAATGGAGTCTGGGCGCATTGTGCCTTGATTAAATGTGCCTCAATCTGAATGCCACTCAACCACTACTTTTCTCAGCAACATAGATTGGCATCTCTTTTGATGGACACTGTTAGCTCGCTGCTCTTCATTAAAGGACATGCTGCACAATAAAATACTGTTTGACAAAGATAAGAAAATATGACACAATAGAATATTAAATTCACAACTTATCCAAGACGCTTTTCTGATTCAAGCGAGAACCGCGACTCTTATTTCTGTATGTGGTTTGATTGCAAGTATGATATTGCCTTTTAGATATCTGTCACCAAAGTTGAGTTTATAACAATATAATTGTAATTTCGATTTACCGGTAATTGCATGAGCATATTGCATTCTTTATCAATATTTGAATATGGTAATGGATATAATATGTGTAATTAAAAACGTTTCTTTGGCCTTAGTCTTTTTAACGCGAAATTACAAGAGGCAGAAAAAAATAATGTAATAATTATTTACATTTGTTAAGCGCATATCGTCCATAGATCCAAATGCACAGAACCAGCATAAATGGTCAAAACCAGGGGGTATAGGCCAATTAACAGAGATGAGTTTCCAAGTTAGATAAATATATCTAACGACTCTTGTTTGTCTGATTTACAAAGGCAATGCGTTCCAAAGCCTGGGAGATGACCTGGCAAAAGCCGGATCACTCCAGTATATGAGCCTTGACCTTGGAGTACTCAGAAGAAGGTGATTTGAAGATCTCAGCCCAAATATAACACCCGTGTGTCTTGGTGTCCGATTACTAATGAAAGTTCATTTACTTGCTAATTTCTTTAGCCCCACCGCCCGTCCCTGCACGCCGCAAACCCTCCCCCTCTCCCCCGTGAACTCCGACTGCCGCGACTCGACAAAACTCCCCCCCCCCCCCCCCCGTGCCTATGTAGTGTTGACAAAGGAGGCATAGACTTCTTCGTAGGCAACACTGTTTATTTACTCTAACGTCAGAGAACGTCCCTAACACAGAGAGGTAACGGCCTCTCACACCCGATAGCCTACAGGATGATACGTCCTCATACTTAGTGTGCCCTCCTCACACTATACTCTGCCTAACGGGTACCGCCACCACTGGGACGTTCGGACCTGGCACTGACAAGGGCCGGAGGTCGGAAGTCCCAGGGCACTATCTCGATGTCTTGAGTCTTGAGGTGAGTGCGGACTGACTCACGCTGGGAGAGCTGCTGCTGCTGCCCTTTAAATCCTTCCTCTCCCAAGCGTCCTGTCTCGAGAGGGTCTGGGTCCGACCGTTGCCCCCCCCCAGCCCCCTCCCTCAGTGGGCTCTGGCCCCCTCACCCCTGGTCAACGGTTATTGTAGTCGTGACTCATACAATACTGCTGTGCAGGTAAGTATACATGTTGCGCGTAACAATGCCGCTACACCTATATAAAGCCACAACAGCAGATCATTTTTCTCACCTGAAGACGGACGCTTGTGTTGCGACCGAAACGTCGTATTTTCTTTTATTATTTTTTTCTATCTACGTGACTTTACCGAAAGAACCAGAGAATATAAATATAACAGAGTTCCCAAAGGTGCTATGTAGGCATTCAATAGTGAGGGACCAAGTACAGATACATACTTGCAGGACATCGCAATGAAATAATAGCGAAATCACTGTAAGGTAGTACCAACAATCCCCTTAAATGTTTTAATCGCTCAACAAGGACCCCGTGGTCAATTGGTGTCAAACGCGGCACTAAGACCAAGCAGGACTTGGACACTGGCTTTAGAGGCCGACCGAAACTGAATTTCTGGTTTCGGCCAAAACCGAAACCAGACCAAAAGTAAAAAATTGACTTTCGGCCGAAACCGAGACTATGCCAAAAGAGGCCATTTGCCAACCGAAACGGAATTTCGGTCGGCCTCTGACTGGCTTGGCCCTTTATCCACTAATAGCAATGAACCGTTGATCACACTCACTAGAGCTGGCTCTGTGCTGTGCACGGCCCTGAAACCTGATTGAAACGGATTGGATGTGTTATCGGCCAGATGCTGGTGGAAAGGAGGAGCCACAGCACGTTCCAAGGTCTTGCATAAGTAAGGAAGGTTTGAGATTTGATGAAAGTTGCAGAGAAGCTTATGATAATGACCTGGCTTTTGAAAGAGTGGAGTTACTGCAGCCATGTTTACAATAGTTGTTGAAGAGGCCAACAGCAAAGGGCCCCAATTAAGAAAAGTTATCCTGTAGCTCGGGAATCAACGATCAAAGACATGAGTTCTGAAGTTTTGATAGCGGGTAACTTAACCAACAGTATCGTCGGAGGGGGAATATCAATTTGAGGGGGAATCTGGGGGTGCAGATATGAATTGGGAACAGATAGTGGATTTTTATCCTTAAAAAAACTGCTGAATTATGCAGTAATCAGAAGGCAGCTGATTATAGAGAATAAGGTCCAGGGATTATTCTTGCTTATCGCAATGCAACCAGCAATATAGGATGATTTAGCTTGTGGGATGTTTTTGGAATAGGAATGAAGCTGTTCTTTAAAAAGCTGGTGATGGATGGTGAGATCGGACTTCCTCCATGCACGTTCAACTCTGTGGACAGCGGATGATTTTTGTGCCCTCAGACTAGTAGTGTACCATGGGGAAGAGTGGCTCGAAGAGATCCAGCATGTTCGGAGGGGAGCCAGACGATCAAGGATATTTGACAGAACAGAATTATAATAGGTCCCTGCAGGGTGGGCTGGTAGGAACATTGGAATTTTGCGCAATTTTATGACATTGTTACTTCGAAATGTTGGGTGCAATAAGACATATCAAGTCTCTGCGCTGTCTATTGCTGATTTTATACCCAACAGCACGAGATTTCACTTCGTTAAAGTATTGAAAGGGGACGGACGCATTAATCTATTGCAGGCTGGTACACTCAGTTTACAACTTCGTTCCTACCAGTAAAAGTATTGAAAGGGGATGGACGGACGGACGGACGCATTAATCTATTGCAGGCTGGTACACTCAGTTTACAACTTCGTTCCTACCAGTATAATTGAGCAGCCTCAACGGAGAGGTGGCATTCCTGAGCGAAGGAAGAATGGGAGAGGGCCTCCATAAGAGATGTTAGAGTAATGGATGTCATTTTGCAGAATAAAATTGTGTTTAGTGGGCAGACTAGGAGGGGGCATAGGGACATCAAAGAGAACCAATGAATGATAAATAATTCCCGGGTCCATGACAGTTGGGTTAGTTATTGAGATCCCAAGAGAACACACAAAACTTAAAGTGTGCCCACCAGAGTGATTGGGCATTTGAACATGATGGGTGAAGCCAAAATAGTTTAGGATGGCCAAAGAATCCTGATCAATATTTTTAAAGGCGGCATTTACATGTATATTGAATTCACTAAATGAATCATTTGGCGGGACCCCGGGGTCCCGCAAAAATCAGCTCAATAATTATTATTTTTACTGGTAGGAAACATAGTGGACTGGAAGCCCAACCGGGATTAATTCACAGGAGGCAGGGGATTAATTGTGTATGTCTGAGGATGTCTGTCCACGTGGGAGGAGTGGGGTTGGGTGGAGAGAGGAGGGTAGGGAGGAGCTGGGTGGGGAGGGGAGGGTGGGGAGGTGCTGGGTGGGGAGGGTGGGGCTGGGTGGGGGGTGGGAGGGGTGGGTCTGGATATGGTGGGGCTGGTACTGGTAGGAAACGTAGTGGACTGGAAGCCCAACCGGGATTAATTCACAGGAGGCATTCACAGGAGGGCAGGGGATTAATTGTGTATGTCTGTGGATGTCTGTCCACGTGTATCCGGACACCCGGATATATAAAACCGGAAGTGACGTCATAGGTATAACCAACAGAGCGTCTAACCACAGGGGGGTTTCTACACAGTTGGAATATTCCAAATCAAATATAACCAGTTCGTCAACAAATGTATGACGGATGTACATAAAATGTATATACATAAATAATACTGGAAGGAAACGTAGTGGACTGGAAGCCCAACCGGGATTAATTCACAGGAGGCAGGGGATTAATTGTGTATGTCTGTGGATGTCTGTCCACGTGTATCCGGACACCCGGATAAAATGGGAGGGTCTGGGGCTGGGTGGAGAGGGGAGGGTGGGGAGGGGCTGGGTGGGGAGGGGAGGGTGGGGAGGGGCTGGGGAGGGTGGGGAGGGGCTGGGTGGGGTCGGTGGGGAGGGGTGGGTGGGGAGGGTGGGGCTGGGTGGGGGGTGGGAGGGGTGGGGGGTGCGAGGGGTGGGGCTGGTCACCCCGTGGTGCCCTTATAAAACTCAACGTTTAACCTACTCACGCTGGCTTGTGCCTGCCCTCACAGTCGGGCATATTTGCGGAATACACCACGTGGTGCCGCCGTTGACCCTGGCCATTGACTGAGCAACCCAACGTTCCTACCAGCTCGTTCCGCAGGAATGTGTTCAGTCCACCCACTCGTGATCCCGACAGCAACGCGCCGCCCGCCCAGACTCGCGCCAACAAGCGCCAGCAGGCGGCGATCAACACGATGGGCGCCACCCCACCGGCCAAACGCAAGACCGGGCGTCCGCCGCAGTCGCGCGTGGCGACGACGCCCTCCGGTCAGCCGTCGATCCT